AAGTGCTGGGATTACAGGCGTGAGCCAACACACCCGGCCTTAAAACCTTTTTAATACCCAACTGACATGAATTAATATGGAACGCTTAGAAGATGAGAGGCACTTTGAGAAGCACGTCTCTGGAACTCAAAGACAGGGACAAAAGAAACACCACGGGGACATAGCCAGCAAACTCCAGAGTGTGAACAATTCTGCAAAATGAAACAACTGGCTTTCTTCTGTAAGTAAGATTCAAAAGAAAAAAGAGGGAGATGGACAGAGATCTTATAGATTAAAAGAGACTTGAAGATACAGCAACCAAGTGTTAGGTACAGACCTTGTCTGGAGACATGTGGGGAAATCTGAGCACATCTTGGATATTTAATACTAAGGAATTACTGTAAATTATTTTAGATGTAATAAGTGGGTTGTGGGGGTAAAGAAGATGAGAGCAACAATAATACAAAAACAGGACACGGCAAGCTACCCTGCACCTCATATACACCTGCAGTTAACAACATGGATCTTCATGGCTGGACACCGGTCTCAGCCTCAGTCTCCTCACCTGTAAACAGGGTCAGAAGAGTAGCCAAATGATGGGTTATCTGAGGACTGAATCAACAGAGACAGAGCCCCGAGGTCGTCCTCCTTGTGAATACAGGGATGGCTATGGAGCATTCCTGTGCAGGGCTGTGTGGGGTGATGCTGACACGGCAGCGACCACAGCCAGTACTCCTGGGGGGGGAACCCTCGGGAGTCAGACACTAAGTCAGTGACCCACCTGGAGCAAATAAGTGTTAGGGAAGGAGGTCCCTAACCCTGAACCTAACCCTAACACCTAACCCTAACCCTGAACCAAACCCTAACCTATAACCCTGACCCTAACCCTAACCCCTAACCCCTAACCCTGACCCTAACACCAAACCCTAACCCTGAACCTAACCCTAACCCCTAACCCTGACCCTAACCCTAACCCCTAACCCTGACCCCAACACCAAACCCTAACCCTGGCCCTAACCCTAACCCCTAACCCTGACCCTAACCCCTAACGCTGACCCTAACCCCTAACCCTGACCCTAACGCTGACCCTAACCCCTAACCCTGACCCTAACCCAGGGAGAAGCGGTCCCAGGTGAGCAGGGTTGAGGGCCTGTGAGCCGCAGCGAAGCAGACTGCATAGCAGACACAATGGAAGACTTTGGGGATTATAAGTGGGGATGACCTGCTCCCCTTTAAGGGATGAATCTGGGGACCGTGGGGACAAAGGACAGCAGGACAGTTAGGGTGGAGGCGGAGACGCCTGTGGTGTCCACCAGGAGGATGGCGTGCTGTGACCTGGGGCTGGCACTGAGGGCGGTGATTGGCAGCTGCATTTGGGACGTGGGCTGAGCCCAGGGGCTTGCTGACGTAAGGAGCCCGGGTGAGACGGAAGCAGCGGGGACAGCTGCGATTCCCGGGCCTTAGCCTCGAGAGCAGGCTGCGGCCCAGATGGGGATGGGCCTTGGAGGTGGAGGAGGAATTTCACCCTGTGCTTCAGAGGTGCTGGGCTAGGGGTGACGACCTGACCCCCTGACCCCTGGGAGCCCCGCCTGGCTGCCCTGCCGCCGGGCTCCCACCCGCTGCCCTCATCAGTCCCACCCTCCAGCAGGTGGTCCTTCTCCCCCCACCGTGGCTCCCCCGAGTGAAGCTCCCTTCTTCCTGGTTTGCAGGACTGTGGCCGAGGCTCAGCATGGTGGCTCAGGTGCCCGGAGGGACAGAGGGAGGGCCCCGCCCCTCTGAGCAAGGCCTCTTCGCCTTCCTTGCTTCTGCAGCTGTCCCTCCGTCCACACGGCCAGGGACGCAGCCGCATCCTGGGGGCTCTGGGAACACAAGGCCCCCACGGGACGACGGAGCTGGCGCAGGAGGGGCGTCTGCCCCGTGGGAGCTCACCCCAGCGCCCTCACTGCAGCACCCCGGGGGGAAAGGACACGGTTGAGTCAAGTCTATCCCAAAACGCCTGTCTGATGCCGAGGGCATTGATGTCCTGATCCCGTCCGCCTTCCGGTTTCTGATTCCGTGGCACGCAGCCTGTGCCCTCCGGGCAGGCAGGAAGGACGCTCCGGCCCATACAGCCAACAGCCTCCCCTGACCCCTCACACCTGCGACTCCAGGGACACATTTACGTCTGCCGGGGGCTGAGTCAGAGGCGAGGTGGCCTTCCCGTTCCTTGTTGCTAATCGCCCAAAAACGCTGCTAGGAGGGCCTGGGGGGGGCACTCAGCACAGCCTGGAGGGGGTCGGGCCTGGCCAAGGGAGCGGGGGGCTCAGCGTGTCCTGGGCACAGCGTGCTGGTCTCGCAGGCCTCACGGCCACATGCCTTCGTCCCCCAGCCTGCCAGGCTCCAGGCCAGCTGGTTTGTCCCTGCTTTGATGGGGAGCAGTGACAGGGGTGCCGGCCTCACATGTGGGGAAGGTGCGGGCGTCGCCGCCAGACCCTGCCCTGCCGGGTCTTCCGAGTCGGCAGACGCTCTCACCTGGCGAGCAGCAGACCGAGCAGCTGTTGGGGAAATCGGCCCCTTGGCCAATCTGCTTCCGGGGACCAGCCTGGCGTCCACGCGTTGTGCCCACCAAGTTTCCTGGTTTCACAGACCCCCCAGCCCCGTTAGTTCTGTCCTATCGACGACCGAGGTGGGTGTCCCCGGGCTGGGCCACCCACGGGCGTCCCCCTGGGAGTCCGTCAAATGCACCAGGAACTCAGCTGGACACTCTCGAACTGCTAAGTTTGTCACTGTCACCCACTTACTGGTCCCTTGAGGACCAGTTTCCTCATTCAGCCGCTTTTGAGTTAGAGATTAAAGAATCAGTGACTGGAGCAAGACTGAGGACACCGAGGACGTCACCCAGCACCACGGCCGCTGAGCCGCCGCCAAGAACGGGCCCTGGGGCAGCAAGACTCGGGTGAGTGTTTACGCTGAAACTGGACGAGCAGGTTGACATCGGGAAAGGACTGGGGAGAAGCAGGGTTACTATTTGAGAAATCATCCTCAGTTTCATAGTGGCTCCTGGCATTGATGTTTTAGCCGACCCCGTGCGGAGCCCGAGCTGGCCCTGAGCACCCAGTCTTTCCTCCCCGCTTGTTTCAGCCGTGCTCTTCCGGGTGCCGACCCCGCCCAGTGTCAGCGGAGCTTGAACCCACGTCTTCCGGCCTCACGGTGCTCACCGTGCCCGCGAGGGCCTCACGACCAGGGCCGGGGCCCCTGCCGCTCCCCTGGGGTCCCCAGGGACCTGTGAACAGGCCTCTCATGGGTAGAGGCAGCTCTACTTTTAGTAGCATATTTAACCAATAGGACAATCAACAAGAGACAAAAGCAAACAATAAGAAACTAAAAACCCCATCAGCAACCCCCCACGAGGCACACGAGTCTTCATCTCCCAGAAGCGTGTCACCAGCGAGCCCTGCGTCTGCACACGGAGGACCTGTCCCTCAGCACCACGCGGGCTCCCGTGTTCTTGACTCAACATTTCCCCGATCCAGCCTCTCTGCTCTGCTGTCTCTCTGCGTGCGTGCATTTTCAGCGGTGCCGACCGCACGCCCCACTCTACCTCTTCCCTTCACATACGCATTTGGGGCTTTAGTAAGCCCACCCCGTAATCACAGGGCCGGAAGCCTCTAGAAGGTGGAAAAGGCCGGGAGCCTGTGGCTGGAAGGCAGCCCTGCAGACACACCTTGATTTTGGGACTCTTGGCCTCCAGAACTGTGAGAGAGAGAGATTTGTGTGTTTTAAGCCACTAAACCTGCAGTTTCCAAATCACAGGTGCAGCAGCCCTAGGAACCTGACACAGACACCACCTCCGCAGTGACAGCTCTCACGGTGACAGCTCCCCCAAGCTCCAGGCCAGCGTGTGTGTCCAGCTGCCACTCACACGTCCACCCGATATCTCACGGGCAGCCTCACTCCAACACGCCTGAAACCATTTCTCGGCTTCCCCCGAAGCTGTCCCACTGGGGCCTTCTGCCGCTGAGCCGACCTCAACTCCAAACCCTCAGTCACTCAGGCCACGGCCTGCAGCTGCCCCGGGTCCTGCCGTCCGGGCACCCCCAGCCAGCCCAAGCTTGCTGGCCCTGCCTGCAAAGTGCCTCTGCCGACTCCTCAGGAACCAACTCGCTGCGGCTCAGGTCGAAGGCCTTCGGCGACTCAGAGGAAGGCCAGAGTCCTGTAAAACTCTGCAGGGACCCACGTGACCGGCGCCAGCACCCCCATCACACCTCTGATGGCCTGCCTCTCCTCCCGCTGCAGCCACGCCGGCCTGTGCCCGCCCGGCACGCCCCAGGCTCCCTCTGCCCGCCACGGGGAGCAGCCGTCCGCCTTCCCGGGCTACTTCCCTCACCTGGAGTCTGTGTTCACACGTCCCCTGCTCAGTAGGGGACCCACAGCAGATGCCAAGGGACGCTGACAAGGGGCCCGCTGGGGAGACAGGCCAGAGGTTCGGGGGCAGGGAGACGGGCGGCAGAGTTGGGAGTGGACGACAACAGGCAGTTTAGCTCGGTCATGGGGCAGAGTGGCACGAAACGGAGCTGGGGTGACCCACAGTGGAGATGGGGGTGCCACCTGGCACCGATGAAAAGAACCCGGCGGAAAGGCAGCCTCTGTCCCAAAGCCCTTTGCCCCAACGTGCTGGGTGTTTCAGGACGGCGTGGAGACATTCCTCATTTATCACCTTTTGCTCTCCTGTATTCTTCAGATGTTGTGGCCTAACGATCACCTGGCCTAGGAGATGTCACCCCAGCTAGAGGAAGCTGCAGGGAAACTATTCGGAGAACAACGGAATTGCTTGCTCGGAAAGAGCGATGCCCTCATTTTCATGACCAGGAAACCACGGCCGGAGAGTAGAACTGTGCCCCGAATCCCGCCTTCCCGTCCCACCCTCCTCGCCCCGCAGCCCCTGCTGCCTGTCCACCCCCGACAGCACCCCCGCTGATGGCCCTCAGGGGGACGTCAGGGACCCCGTGCTCCGGGGGCTCAGCCCAGTCCCGCACACTCACTCTAGTCTTTCCTCCTCCTTCCTTCGAAGGTCAAAGTCGCGCTGGACGACTTCCCAGACGTGCTTGGCCTCTTCGTCAGTGAGCTCGGAAAGATCCAGTTTTTTCCCCATTTCTGCCTCGTGTCAGGGTCACACCTGGAACATCACAGGATCACGAGAGGTCAGTCCTGGGAGGCCACGGATGCCAAGAAGTCAGAAAGTCAGAGGCAAAACAGAAAGCGGCCGAGTCCTCTAACCGGGCACACGCCGGTCTGGAAACCTGTGTAGTTTAACACGTATTGTGTAGTTTAATGAATTTAAGTATATCTATGTATAAAACCCCCAGATTTGAATTTTAGAAGGGATCAACTTCCCGCCCCAGAACACACACACTCGGCCACGGGTCCCCCACTCTCTTTCCCTGTGGGACGAATGTCAAGGATTTCCCATTGAGCCGCACGGCTCCTTTCCCCAAGCCAGGGCCGCAGGTTGCAATGGGACCCGCAGAGGTGAGCTGGGGGGGGGGTGCTCCATCCGCAGGGTAGGAGGTAGGGCTCCTGGGAGAGGGAACAGCAACAGAAAGGAGGAAACCTCACAGCAAGTTCATGGCCTTCTATGCATTCCCCAAGCCCCCCTACGGTGGGGGTGCAGGCTCTGCTGGGGCAGGGGTGCCTCAAAGACCGACTCCCTATGTAGGAGGGGTAGGGAGACTCCGCACCATCTGGAAGGTCTTACTGTCCTCTTAGCTTGGGGGGCTGTTCAGGTTTGCCACGTGGTGGGGCAGCTCTCGGGGGAGGTCATCCTGAAACCACCCCCCGCCCCTGGTATGTGGAAAAATTGTCTTCCATGAAACCGGTCCTGGTGCCAAAAAGGTTGGGGACCACTGCTCTAGGAGACTCATCCACTTGGGTGGGGGGAGAGTCACAGAGGGGCTGTGGGTGATGGGTGTGAGGTGGGGCTGTGATGCAGGGGTGGTGGCTGAACAGAGACCACAGATCCTCTTGCTGCCTTTTCACACGGTGATATTACACAGCCTCACAGCTCATGCCGGTGTGGACATTACTACTGGGTATAAAATCGGAGGCATGAGGGCATCACTACTGGGTATAAAATTGGAGGCATGGCTGTGGCAGGGAGGGCCTCGCCCCCAACGTGTGCATGTTGGGGATGATGCATGACTGTGCACACTCCCCACAGAGGACTTCCCACTCCCCCACCCATCACTCCCTGCTCCCATCCCTTTAGCAGTTCTTTGTGCCTCCTGACAGCTGGAGATGCCCCATTAGTTATTGTTAAACGCCGTGAGAACAGCGCCTCTGTCTGTTCCCAGCACGAGCGGGGGGTTTCTGTGCCCCAGCTCTGCAGCGTGCAGTGGGCCATAACGCGAGGCCCTCAGCCAAGGACGCTGCCACTCCGGCCAGACCGGCTCTGGGGAAGGTTTTATCTGGGTGACTGCAAGTTCTGTTGTGAGTAACTGAAAGTTTAAAAACCACTACAAGTCTTCCTTGAGGACATTAACTTGTTTTCTCAGGAACATCTGAGAAGGGGTCCAATCTGTCTGCTTTTAGTGGGAAGCCTTAAAACCAATGAAAAGACTCAACTTGGCTTCTGAATTCTGAGAAGCTCTCCCCCTCACGCTGCTGGCCATTTGGAAGCATTCATCGTGAAAATGTCTAACAAAACTGCCTCTGTGCTAGAAATGTACTTCGATTTTGTTGCACAGGAGGTTAATTATGGAAAGTGACATTTTCTGGGCAGATACCACTTAAAATAAAATTTCTACATAGGTCCCATGGAAGTCAACCAAAATATCCCCTGGCTTGTGCATTAAAACTGGTAAAAAAAATAACTTCATGGATTTTTTGCGCCCACCCCTCAATACTTCCACTCTCAAACACAATTCTGGTTGTTTGTGATGCATTAAGTGGTTCCCCCATGTGCCAGACGCATGTGACCTCTTCATTTACGGTTGGATTTAGAGTCTGGACAAGCAACATGACAACAGAACTCATTCTTGACGCTCCCCTGCAGCACTTAGTTTCTGGTTTCTAAAAAACTGGAACAAAAGGTTCTTATTTGATGGATGACTAGAAGTTATTCATTTTTATTTTTCATTAGTTTTGAAAAAAAAAAAAGCCTATACCATAAGGACAGTATTCATTGAAGTTCTATTTTCAGAGTGGAGGAACAAACCGCATGACCGTCAGCTGAGCAGTTACCATTCCCTCTGTCCTCCTAAAGCAGGAGTCAAAATTCCAGGCCTCGCTTCAAGAAACTTAAATAGTGAGGTCTGGGGGGAAACAGCAAAACAAAAGGAGAAAGTGCGCTTTTCTTACCATGTGAGCTTAACTCCCTTAAAGCACAGTGGGTGCCCAGTAAGCGGACCCGGACACCCCGCCCCTTCCCCCACCCTGTCTAAACCTGCTTCTAATAAGGGTAGTTGCTTGGCTTCTCAACCCAATAGCAAAGACAGCTGAAGCAGGGGACGGGAGAGAGAGCGAGGGGCCAGGGGGCGTGCTGGACACGAGGGGTCTGCAGGCTGGGGCTGAGGGAGGCACAGGCTGGCGCTGGCCTGCAGAGAGGCTGGGGACGGAACACGCGGGCCGTGTACGGGAGCCGGCTCGTGCCCCCCACGAGTCTCCAGGGGACACTCAAGCACAGTCTCGGAGGCTGCAATAAGGACCCTGCGTTCAAGAAAACGTGCTCACTATGCTCAGTTTGCTAGGGCCTGGAATTCTGCGGTGTGTTTTTTGGAAAACAAATGAGCGCCATCTAACAATTAAGGACAAGTCAGAAGCCACTTGAAAAATTACGCTCCAGCTAACTGTTAGCTCTGGTCCAACTTCCTTGCGAGCAGGAGGCGCAGGGAGAGGAGGGCTCGAATGTGGCCCCTTTGCAGGCTGCGCCCTGCAGCCCTGGGTGGGGCTTCCCAGGGGAGTGTGCTCCCGGCCAGCCAGGGGTTGAGAGCCAATGGCCCAGAGCATGGATGTTATCTACTGTGACTCAGTCTTCCGGTTCAGTGAATTAATGCAATGCGGGCCTAAATCCTTTAAAAAACTACCTCTAGAAAATGATCCAAAAATCTAATGGAGCATACGTTTGACTTCAGCATTTAAAATGCACAAACTGAAAGTCACTGGCATTTTGGAGACGTGTTGCTAGCCGTCCCTCCCAGCCTGTCTCAGATTGGTGCACTGATGGGGACACTCGGAGTGTGGTGAGGGGACAGCCCCTTGGCCAGGGACGGCCACAGCCTGTGGCAGAGTCAGCTCCTCCCCCATCACAGCCACTCTGGTCACCCCCCAGGTCCCCATCTCACCAGGTCCCCTCCATCCACACAGTCAAGGGGGACACGGGGACAGAGAATGGGCCAGACCCACGGAGGTGCAGGGCTGCTCTGTGCCCGCCCTGGCCGGGGGGCGGGGAGCTGCTGGCGGCTCCACCTGCTCCTTGCTCCATTTCTGTAGGTAACGCCTCCTCCTGAGGCCCCTGAACAAAACACTCCCACTTTGCGCCTGCTCTACCGCATGCATTCTTTATTTTTATTGATTTTTTTCCATGCATACTCAAGTCCCATCTACTGCACGCATTTAATCATATCTTAAATCTTTGAGACCGGCAGCGTTCCCCAATCGTTTAATGGCCATGGGGGAGAAGGAGGTGACACAGAGAGGGACAAGCAGGCAGGGGAGAGGGTCTGGCTTTGGAAGACGGGCGTCCCAGATTCATACCACTGAATTTCCATGGTGTGCTGTCTTTACCCGTAAGAGATTTGAATTCATATTTTGGCCAAATTGAAGGGACACTGGGCAGGGATTCTCCTAGATGAAGACTTGGCTTAATCACCTCTTGGGCCAACTGACCCTGGGAACCCTGGGACAACAGTGACTGTGGGTGGTCACTGGCCTGGGCAAACAGAAACTGGAGAGCAAGTCACTGTTCCTCGCAGACGCCCCACCGGCAAGGGCAGGGTGCTATCTGACTCAGCCCCGGCGTGCTGATAAAGGGTGGGCAGAGGTGCCAGCCGTGCTGCCCTCTGCCTTGACCTTTTGTGGCTGTTTCCCAAACGTTGTGGCCTGAGTCGGCTCCAGTGGCTATTCTGTGGGCAGGGCCTGCCACCCACGTAGGGACTGGCCCTCCAGTCCTCACCAGGGGCTGGGAACATTTGCACCTGGAAGGGCCACTCTCTTCCCTGAGTGTGCACCTGGCACACCTGTGGTGTGGTTACCACGCTCTGGAATGGCTCCAGCAGCAACGGCACTGGGCAGGCGTTCCGCCTCTCCACAGCCTCCCCCCCCCACACACCTGCCCATCCTCTCTGCCTGCCCAGCTCTCTGGGGCATTGTCCGTAAACCTCATCATGTAATACGTGGACATGGGTTTGCCTCTGCACTAAAGCCTCGGCTCTAGTCCACAGCAAGGACAGGTCCCAGGGGAAGCTGCAGAAAGAGGACAGGGCTGAGAGGCGGGAGCTGGGTGCCCACCCCGGTTGGGGCACAGCCAGGCCTGCTGCCGGGTCAGGCTCCCCTCCTCTCAGGGTCTAGTTCCCCATCTGCCCCGGGGACAACGGTTGGGCTCCACGACCTCCGACCTCTCTGGCCCTCTCCAGCCCTGACGATGCCAGGCGGTTAGAATTAAGAGGGGGGTGAGGGTGGGTGTAGTGGGGAGGGGTGGGGGAGGGATCTTCCTCCAGAAGTTGCTTCTGAAATGAACGGCAGGTCAGCCCTGGAAGGCTGCCCCGACCACTCAGACTGGGGCACGCTTGAGCCTCTACTGCGCTGTCATTAAAGGCACCAAAGTCACTTTCCCATTAGCCGATAGAGGGTTCTGGAACACCCTTCTCCATCCCCCAGAGCCCACCAGGCACAAACTCAGCTTGTGTTAGGTTTTCAGAGTCACTAACGCCTTAATAAGACCCACTGACTCCTCATCTGTATGTCCGGCACTATCTCAGATCCTTTGCATGCGACCTCAGGGAATCCTGTCAGGCACTGGCTGTTGTCCTCAGTGTCCGGATGGGACGCTGAGGCTGAGCGCGGTCTGGGAGCACAGCGCCCCACGGCTGGTGCTTAGAGAGATTGGGGTGGGGAGGGGGCTCTTGCCCGGGAAAGCTGCGGCCTTGCTGAGGCCAGCTGTGTCCCGCCCACAGCCAGGTGGAGGGATGGGACTCTTGGGACTGACACATCCCTGCTGAGCCTGAGGTGCCAACGCCGCACCTGCCAGCCCGGCCTTTCCCGAGACGCCATGGCTGCGGGCAGTGCCAGCCCTTGCAAAAGGCTCCTGGAGCCTACCCTCCCCCATTATCCACGGCCCCAGAAAGACATAAGGGACAATCACAACACATCACACAAGGGCATGTCAAGGCCCCCACCCAAGTTTCCCGTGCAAGTGACAGGTGTGGGGGATTTGGTATTTAGCTGAGGTCCGTGGGAAACAGCGTCTAAGCCTGTCCAATCTTTGGGGGACCTGTAAGTGAGATTCAGCCCCTGCAGGGACCGGGGGGCCAGCGGTGAGGAAGCCCATGGCTGCCCAGGTCGGCCCTAGAAGTCACCCACAGAGCCTCCCTGCATCTCTACAACAAGGTGGGAGGGCACAAGGAGCCTGTTGGCAAACAAAAGATGATTCCAATAAAACTGGGGCTTTTAGAGGCCCAGAGGAAGCAAGGACCCTTCTCCCACGCCAAGATCCTCCCCACCCCTCCGGAAAGGGGCTCTGACTGCCAGAGCAAGTCTTCCCCAGACAGCCCTGGGCCCCTGGGCGTCCAGCCCAGTCTCCTTGGAGGTCTGCAGCCTTAGCCCCTGCTGCACTGAGCCCCTCAATGGGCCTCTGATTAAAACAAGCTGTTCTGCCCAAATGGGCTGGGGGTGGGGCAGAACCCAGACCCCTGTGATCAAGGTAACCGGGTGAAGCCTGGGGCTTGGAGTTCCATGGCTGAGGCGCTCTCCATCCCATCCCGGACCAAAGCCTGGCGGTTGGGGGTGTTTCCACAGCGTACTGTCCCCCAGCCTGGGCGCACCCCAGCGCCCCCTTCTCCACGCACTCACCGGACCTTCTCCCCCGGGGGACGCTCAGTCCCTGGCCCAGCCCCAGCGCTGCTCTTTCCAGTCCTGCGAAGGAAAGGAGGGCGACAAAGCAGGGCGTAGGGTCGCGGCGCGTTGGGGCCAGGCAGGGCGATGGGGCCAGGCAGGGCGCAGGGCTCACGGGGTCTGGCGCGCTCCTGACCTGCGGTTGTGGGGCGGGCAGCCCGCCAGGTCCTGGTGCCGCCCGTCTGCATCACGTGGGTGGGCTGCGCTCCGCCCAGCTCCGGGATCACCGGGCACCTCGCGGACTGGGCCAGGCGGAGGGCGGGGCGGACACCCCGGGGCGCCCGCGCGGGAGGCGCCGGTGCTAGTGAGAGCCCCTCGCTCCCCGCCCCAAATCAGTTTTGGGGAGAAAGGCGGCAGGGAGGGAAAGTTGAGCACACACCTGCGAGTCAAGCAAGTTTGCAGCGACTTTGCCAGAGTGGTGTGGCCTCCACAGCCCTGCTCTCGGCACCCTGGGACCCGCTTGCTGAGCGCGCCCTCGGAGCGCAGCGCGCAGTGCCTCCTAGAACTCCCATCCTAACTCTGCAGGGAGAATGCTGTTTACTCTGGCCTTACGGGTGGGGAAACTGAGGCTCAGAAAAGCGCTCCATCCAAAGCCACCACCTAATAAGCAGGAACACCAACTAGTAAGTGGGACTGAGTCAGGGTTTCCTGCTGCAGACCACGTGCCCCTCACCACTTCTGTTCTGCCCAGGCAGCAGGACCAGGACGGCGCCACAGCAGCCGGCAGCCTGGCCGCGGGGAGGGGACCCAGGCCTTGCCTGCCAGGGAAAGTCAAGATCCGCGCAGACGGGGCAGGGCGGTGTGAGGACCCAGGACGCTGTGCCCGGGAGCGCCTGGGAGCCCCGCCCTGCTGCGCCTGCGCCCTCTCCCAGACCTCAGGGTCAGCCTCTGGGCGCTCAGGGGAGCTTCAAACCCAGCGGGTCCCAAGCAGAGCCGCCGACTCCAGCCCAACGGTCCTGCTTGTCCTTCTGAATTCCCGTGGCTAGGAAGGGAATCACCATCTTCCCTCTTCCTCCCGGCTGGGAGCATCAGAGCATTCCCCCAACCTTGTCGTTTTAAAATGATCAAACACAAGGTGCGTCCTTTTCTCCAGGAACGACTTTCTTTCTTTTTTTGAGACAGTCTCACTGTGTTGCCTAGGGCTAGAGTGCCGTGGCGTCAGCCTCGCTCACAGCAACCTCAAACTCCTGAGCTCAAGCGATCCTCCTGCCTCAGCCTCCCGAGTAGCTGGGACTACAGGCATGCGCCACCATGCCCGGCTAATTTTTTCTGTATGTTTTTAGTTGGCCAATTCATTTCTTTCTATTATTAGTAGAGACAGGGTCCCAATCTTGCTCAAGCTGGTTTTGGACGCCTGACCTCGAGCGATCTGCCCGCCTGGGCCTTCCAGAGTGCTAAGATTACAGGCGTGAGCCACCGCGCCCGGCTGGTAATTCTTAATATCTACAGTTGACATATATGTGCAATACATATTTCTGACAATATATAAATACCATTGTACAGACATACACATCACTGTACATACATACTTACACAAATAATATCTGCAGAAAAAAATCCTAAATTAGAATTGCTGAATCAAAGGATGTACACAATTTTAAGAGAAAATTCTAAAATTAAAACATTTAAACCCAGAAACTGGGAGGCTGAGGAGGGAGGATTGCTTGATCCTGGGAGTTGAGACCAGCCTGAGCAACATAGTGAGACCCCATCTCTACAAAATGACAGAAATTAGCTGGGCATGGTGGTATGTGCCTGTAGTCCCAGCTTTGTGGGAGGCTGAGGTAGGAGGATCCCTTGAGCCCAGGAATTTGAGGCTGCAGTGAGCTATCACTGTGCCACTGCACTTCAGCCTGGGTGACCGAGTGAGACTCCTGTCACCAATAAATAAATAAACAAATAGATTTTAAAAATTTAAGGTGTTGAAAGAACTCAAAGTCACAGAAAGTTGCAAGTATGGTACAACAACTTCCCCTCCCCCAACCATTTGTGATTAGTTGCTGACATGATGCTCAGTTTAGTGGCGTATTATATATATAAGGACAACCCTCCATAAAATTGTAACTGAGCCATCAAAATTGGTAAATAATACATTGCTATTATCTAATCATCAGTACCCTTTCAAATTTTGCCGATTTTCTCAATGATATTTCTTTACCGCCAAAGGGTGTGTCTCCTTCAAATTGTCAATTCCTCAGTCTTTCTTTGACTTTCACAGGTTTGTCATATTTAAGTATTACAGGCCACTCATTCCGTAGAATACCCCTAAGTTTGAGTTTTGCATCTTGGGCAGGCACCTCCCGAAGCCAGGCTGGGCTCTCCCGCTGCACGCTGCCAGGCGGTGCGTCAGTTTGGGTGTCCCGTTACTGCAGGTGCTCGCTGCGGTCTCTGTGTCAAGGTGCTGTCATCAGCCTTCTCCATGGTCAAGTCACTCCCTGCCCCTTTGTCATCAATAAGTGTTTCGTGGGGAGGGGTGCATACATTTAAAAATGTTCATAACCAGTGTCATCTGGTGGCAGAGAATGGCTTTCATGCTGGGGTGCCCTCGGGCTCCCTGTAAGCCCTCGGGCTTTCTGCTGGGGTGCCCTCGGGCTCCCTGTAGGCCAGGCTCTGCGACCTGCCCTTGCTTGTCCACCTCCCTGGGGCTGCTTTCTCTTTTTCAAGACCTCGTGGTTCCATCCTGTGTCTCGCAGAGGAGGAAACTGAGGCCCAGGGAGGGGTGGTGTTTGCCCAGACCTCACGCTGAGTTAGAAGCAGCTCGTCTCTGCAGCCCTGGGCCTCTCACGGCCTGAGCAGAACGCTGGACAGTCTGGGCTGGCAGGGGGGCACCAAGGGCAGCAGAGGACCCCTGCCTACTTCCTTGTCTTACTGGTGGCTGTCTGGAGACCCTGCCTTTGCTGGGATTTAGGGGCAGGCAAGGGAGGGAGGACAGGGTCGTTCCCTTGGCCATGCCAGCAGGGTCTCACTGTGGAAGACGGGCCTCAGGGAGGCACGTTTTAATTTCGTTCTCTGGGAGTCCCCATCTGCAGGGATAACTGGGCAGGTCCCATTGAGGGGCGGCCTTGGGGTTAGCTTCATCTCTGCTAGTAGAGAGGGGACCCCAGGCGAGAGAAAGTTTCTGGCCACCCAGGAGCCTCCCAGCCTCTCAAAATTCCAGTTTCCTTCACGGATTGGTGCGGAAAAGGCCTGCGGCCCCCTGCCCACCGCCCCTGGGCTCCTCTAGCGCACGGTAGGCGGTGGGTAAAACCGGTCCCTCAGCCTCCCTGTCTGAATCCTCTGGGCTGGTTTGGTGTCAGGCTGACCAGGGCATCCGGGTTTTTGAGATGACCATCCAGGAAGCCGAACACAAGAAAAATACTGCCCCAAATCTCAGCCACGTCAAATAGTCCAGTAGACTATTTGTAAATTACAAGAAAATATGTTTTCATCAGACACTGAATGCATTTTTTTCTTTTATGCATCTGGAAAATTGAGGGAAACCACTCACGTTTGGAAGTGTTCCGGCTTTGCGGGTTTTCGGCTGGGGGCAGGGGATCACAGTCGGGTTGTGCAATTGTGCCCTAGGCCTTGAAGGAGCTGTCACCTGCCCCTGCCCCTCCGGTTCTTCAGCACACAGGCTCAGGAACTGTCCGCCAAGAGCACACACTGACTTCGGAACTGTATTTCAGTGGCGGGGGTGGGGATGGCGTGTTTTGCAGAACCTCTGGGACCACACTGATGCACGGGTCTGTCTGTCTAGTCTCCCCAACCCTACGGGACCACTGGCCCTGCTCTCCGGGCTCCAGTCCTTTTCTGGATGACGTCCCCCCTTCACCCTCCCAAGTCCCACTCCCTGTTGGGATCTCCGCTCCACTGTCCTTCCCTCAGAAGAGCACGTGCAGCCCGTCCAGCCCTGCCCACTGCCGGCTCCCTGCCGTCCCTGCGTGTTCTTGCGGAACTGTGCCCACGGTCTACGCGCCACGCCTGTGATCCTCTGGGTAACGCCTGTCGCTCTGCTCTGAGCCCCGGGAAGGCAGGGGTTGTGTGTTCACTTTGCCGTCCACTGCCGTCCACCGTGCTTGGTGCGTGCCAGGCCCTCAGTAGATATTTGTTGAATAAATACGGTTCAACAATCATAATCACATTTTTTGATGTTTCCCTTGATTCAGACTTGACTGACGGGCATTTTCCACACAGAGCTCCGCCTTCCCCCACGCAGGCGGCCTGAGCTCACAGCACTTCCCTGGGAGAGCGGGGTCCCCGGAAGTGGCCAGATGGGAAGTGGGGCCCGGGGCGGGGAGCAGAGGGGGTACCGAGTCGCCCTCACGGGAGCTCTGCATGCTCTGGGGCCGGCGTTCTCCTCTCGCCTTTAGCACTCGTGGCCCCCAACTCAGCTCGGCCCCTTCCTCCTCCTCGAGTGGGTCTGAGGTCAGCCTTTGTTTTCTCTCCGAGGAAGAGTATGTCCGAGAGCAGGAAACAGTGTCCTGCTCAGAGCTCAGCAGAATTTCATTTCAAATACTCCTGCCCCAAGGTACCTACTTTGGCAACCACTTTCCCCTCATCTGAGCGCACAGGGAATTACATTTTGATAAGTGCTTGAAAGGAGCTTAATTAGCCAGCGAGGCCCGCCAGGAAGAGGGAGAAATCTGAAGAATGAAGCCCTTGAATATAAAACCATAGGAACACTCAGGGTTCAGGGGCTCTGGAAGCTTCAGCTCATGTGAGGCATGGGCCGATGAGCAGTTCTCTGAACCCACATTAACTCGATGAGGAGCTTTAACCATCAAGGCTTCACTTCTTAGGCAGAAATGGTCCAAACAGAAGGGAAGGGTTCAGGCAATCAAGTCTGATGCTCCACTCTCAGAAGGCTCACGCCTGGCAATCTTGGTTGTGTGGTCAGGAAGGAGGAGAGCATGAGGGGACCTGGTCCTCACTGAAGACCTACTGTGCGCTCAGCCAGCACTGTCTACGTGCCTGATCTGTACAGTACTAATTGGGTGGGTGTCTGACCTACCCAGGATCAGTTGTGTCGGGTGCCTGACCTACCCAGTATTTATGGGTGGGTGTCTGGCTTATCAAGTATCAACTAGATTGTGCAAATAAGGAAACTGAGGCACTTGTCCAAAGTCACACAGTTGGTGGGGGGGTGAG